CTGCGCTTCCACGCATGCGCAGGACGCATACAGCGCCTGCGCGATCCTCCAGGAGCAGCTGGAGCATCACACAGACGCTAGTACGCATGCGTGCAGCGCATGCGTGCACGCGCATGGCACGCGCATGCGCGAGGACGCCACCGGCCTCGTTCCAACCGAACCGGTTGGAACGGGGCAAGAAACCCACCCCTGGGGCATATAATCAACAATCAAACAAAATATGAGAAATATTTTCAATGGCTGGGGTATCATATACTATATGCAGGTTCTCTCAAAATTGGGCAGTGGTGGAAGCATCCATATTTAACCAACAGTCAAATCTTGTTCTAAAACAGATGCTTCTTAAAAATTGTGTCAAGACAAGTATTTTTCAGGGATCTGGTTTTAGCCAATAACTGCATGTCAGTTTGAGCATTGATATCTAGGATTCTTGTTTAAATGTTTCCCTTGCCTAGGAGGCCTTTGAGAGTAGATCTGATAGAAAACTCACTAAGGTGAAAAGAAAAAATGTAATGTGCACCCGATTGAGACGGAAGAAGAGAAAAAGCTAAGACAATCTTCCAAACTCGGATTTAAGATGAAATTTTCAGGAAGAAGTATTTTGCAGAGAATAAACTAATAAAGAAGTGATATTTGTTGCAAGAGTCATTTATCTTATGGAAGGACAGGATAAAGTTAAGTAAGAACTGTACCAAATTAAATGTTTGTGTCTGCTAATAAACGGGTTTCTTGGGGTTTTTGTTATATTGTCTTTATACAAATTCAACTATGTGGTTTTGTATACAATTTAGAACCCCTTTAGCTTTTTTACAAAATTACCTGTGTTCCATCAGAATGCTATCATTTCCTGTGTATTTATCTACCGGGGTTAATTTGCAACACCATGATTGTATTTCCTTCATACTGAATGTCTTGCATATTTAAAGTATAAAAGTATTTAGAGTATTTAAAGTATAAACACATTTCTATTTTTTGGTTTTAAAATAAAATTTGATTTGATCCACAACTTGTGAGATTGATGCATCTCAAAGAAAGCAGAGCAGTTTTCCCTAATCACACAATTCAACGTAATACCAGAGGTGGTGTGGTGCTGTAGAATTTACTTCATTTTCATCCATTCCTTGCAAGTAAACACACAGATTCAAATAAGGGCTAATGAGTTAGAAGAGTTGATTTCTACCCATTCTTATATTCCACATTTAAACAAAAGGTTTGTGCATAAGAACGGTGTCATGGCTCCTTTTTTTATATTCACCTATTTTCCACTTTGTTCACTAAAATTTATAAAGAAATATGATTAAAATTCCAATATTTCTAATCAAAACAAATCCATAACCTCTCCAAATACCAATTACTTTTAATTATTCAGATATTTTTATGTCCCGATCATCTCCAGAATGGATTACTCTAAACATGCCCCATATACAACTGCCCTTGGAAAGTACCAGGAGTTTCAACTAGTGCAGAATGCAGCTATGGGCATCCCTAGGATGGCACAAATTACACCTCTGTTCCAGGAGCTGCATTCTTGCCAACTTCCTTCTAGATGGAATTCAAGGTGCTGGATTTGACCTTTACAGCCCTATGTGGCATACGACCAGGTTATCTAAGGGCCTGCCTCTTTCTTTTTTTATTTATCATATTTGAAAACTGCTCTTGACCCTCTTCCTGACCACATCCACCTGTTCCATCAAGTTAAGCAAAAGGTATGCTATGGGTCCTGTCTACTAAGGAGTTCCAGCTTGCAACAATGCAGCATCCAGTGCCTTTTCTGTTGTGCCCCCCCCAACATCATTCCTCCCCACCACCACCACCACCCCAAGGTGAAGTTGACCCGATCTTTGCCGTATGGAAAACCCTGAACATAATTCTTCCATTAGCCTTGAGGATTCCACGGTGAACCTGCAATATGTCAAGTGACAGCTGTTCTCCTGTAATTTTGGATATTTGTTTTTATGTTTTTTCTTTCATTTATGTTTGAATGTTTTATGGTTTTTATTATTATGCTTTGTACATTTCCCTGAGTTTGGTGAGATGGATGGGTATATTATTTTGCAGGATAGCATACAAAACATAATACATGTATATATAAACATAATACATAATACATCTTATAATCTTACAATCAAGATCAAAAATTGTTAGAGATTGCTAGATTATGTGCTTTAGCAATCTTCTCACTCACATACATAAAAAAAATCATATATATGATTGTAAATAGCCCTACTTCATTCATATTTTTTTAAGTGTTCATTTAAACTTTTTAAACATAATTTTAAAAATAGGGCTTGGGAAATAAGCTTTTGCTTGGTTGAAAGAGGCAGCTAAATCACCCTTCTAAGCTTTCTGTAATGCAGTGTAGCTCTCTGAGAGCAATACTTTGATTCTAGTACCTGAATGAATAATAGAAACATTTTGAGGAATCGTCAAAAGCTTCCAAAAAGCTCAAGGAATTTTTGTATAACAAGAACAAAGCTATCGCACTGATTGTTTCAACTTAGCCCTAAAGGAGAATATGTCACTGTTTGTTTAAGACTGTTTACGCAGCTCTGCTCCACCTGCCAGTTCTGTTTCAAGGTGAAGGAAGGTGGCTTCATTCCACAAATCAGACTATCCCTTCCTAAGCTGGTGCCCTCCAGATGTAAAGCTAAAGGTTCCCCTCGCACATATGTGCTAGTCATTCCCGACTCAAGGGGGCAGTGCTCATCTCCATTTCAAAGCCGAAGAGCCAGTGCTGTCTGAAGACATCTCCGTGGTCATGAAGCCAGCATGACTAAATGCCGAAGGCACACAGAATTCTGTTACCTTCCCACCAAAGGTGGTCCTTATTTTTCTACTTTTACTTTTAACATGCTTTCAAACTGCTAGATTGGCAGAAGCTGGGATGCTTAATGTGAGCTCACGCTGTTACACGGCGCTAGGGATTCGAACAGTCGAACTGCCAACCTTTCTGATCGACAAGCTTAGTGTCTTAGCCATTGAGCCATTGTGTCTCTTACAAGATATACAGGACCACAATCTCTATCATACCAGCCATGCCAGTTGCATGAATTGCAACATTAGGTTGAGAATTCTACTCGAAGACTAATCCTTTCTAACATAGGGGAAGATTTTATTTGAAGGAAGATACCATGGTTTTCCAAAAACAGAGAACATTTTACATAAATAAATAAATTGGTACTCCATAATAACAAGAGTTTTATAAAGTTTATTTATGCAGTGAAGCCAGTATCATATAAATTATTTCCAAACACATTGACTGCCATTGCACTGCCAATGTGGCAAAAAGAGGATTTTAGAATTTGTGCAGCTCATAATCCAAATTTTGTAGCTCATAATCCAAATTTTACTTCACTGCCAAACTCTTCATCTGCCCCCCACTGCACAGAATCAAAGTCTGGGCACATGATTAACATAATTGGCGTACATAACATGATTTGAATTTTCTGGATGAGACTAGTGCAGCAGTTACAAACACCCTTGATGCTTGATATTTCAGGTACATTGTCTGCGCATTTGAAATCAATGTTTGGTTTCTTACTGCAAGGTTCACCAAAGGTAATGTTTCCACCTGCCTCTTAATTAAATTTGATTCCTTGAGCAAGAGGCAAATCTTTGCTGTAATTAATTGTGCTGAAAGATAAAAGAAAAAACTTAAAATATGCAGATTTTAGAAAAAGCCCATCTAGACAAAACTGAATGTGTATCTAGCTCAACAAAGAGTTTCTAGAATAACCAGTCAAAAGACATTTTCAGAGTTGAGAACATGGATTCATGTTCTCAAGCAGTGGTGGGTTCTGGATTCCATTCCAACCAGTACGGTTGGAACAGCCCCGGCATCACCCACATGCACGTGCGCTGTGTGCACATGCATCGTACTTGTCTGCAATGCTTCTGCAAGCCTCCATGATGTCCCAGCTGCTCGGCGGAGCGTCGCACAGGCACCATACGCACCATGCATGGAAGCGCCAAAAGGTTAAAGCACATGTAAGGAGCGAGGGCGGGCGAGTGGCCCTCCGGAGCACCATACCGTAACAGTATCTGGTGCTCTGGGCTGGCTCCGATACGCCCATACCGGGGTGTACAGCCTGCAACCCACCACTGTTCTCAAGGCAGTCTGCAGCTTTACTAAGGAAGTTTTTTTATTCATGACCATGTACCACTTTATTTTTTTAGATTGATTCATTTTTAGATTTTATTAATTTAAAAAAATAACTCAAGGTGACAAACATATCTAATACTCCTTCCTTCTCCTATTTCCCTCACAACAACCCTCTAAAGTGAGTTGGATTCAGAGAAAGTGGCTGACCAAAAGTTACCCCGCTGGTTTTCATGGTTAAAGTGGTACTAGAATTCAGTCTACTGGTTCTAAGCATTACATCAAACTCACTCTTTTTAACTGTAATGTTTCTTTTTAATTCAAAACAGGTACATAGTATCTAATATATTTAACAATGCAAATAAATATTAAAATGGCAGTATGTAAAGAATTAGAATGAACATATAGGAATAATTCTCTTCTATGCCCAAAAACCAGTTACTGCCATCTTCCATGTTCTAAATACAGGTTAAAACTGCTTTCTCCATAAACAAACAAAATTTTGTCATCAGCAGCAATTTTACTCTCACCTCAGTAAGTGTTTGCCATGGTCTTTTAAATATGACCTAGAAACATTTCATCAACCTCACAAATAGTATTATGCTTGACTCTCCTTAAATCTCTTTGCAGTTTCCTCATAAAATCTCGCATGCCATCAGATATAAAACATAAAATCCTCTAAAATGCAGTTTTTAGTATGTACATATTTATATTTATTCTGAGTTCATATATACCATTATGACTAAGGTCAAATTATTAAAATTCTTAGCAGAGTATGCTAGTCTCCTCTGCAAGAAAATTAGCTGAATAAGCATAGTTTGCTGCAAATCCTACATTTAGAACTACTGCATCGCCTTAAATGTGCCTCTAAAGGAGAGAGACACAAAAGGAGGTCAACCTTAAATTTTGAGGGACATGCTTAGTAGCCAAAAATTGTCAGGGTCCAAATAAAAACTAAATTTGATTTGATTCATTTTTACAATTAAATGGAATGTCATCTAAATTAATAAAATTCATGTATTAAGATAATTTCTTGTGCACTTAATATTTTCTCCCTTCTTTCACATTATTTTTTTTAAACATTTTCTAAGGGGATCCTACATTCCTGCCCTCTTAAAAGTTTCTCTGCTCAACTTTAGAGTGATTAGGAGAGCATTTACACCCCAAGCATCATCAATCTGATACCCTGGATGTAGGCCTGGGAAATTACAAAGGTATCTGGAGGAAATTATGGAAAAATAGTTTATGTGTTCATAAACTCTTCAGAACTTACCAGGTAGATCGCCTCATATACTGTTTCCATGAATCGCTACCAGATTCCCTTCCACCACCTGTGTGCTTATTACCTCCTAGAAGAGGAAAAAGTAGAAATTGTATTTCTAAAACCAAGCAGTGCTACTTTGCATTTCTAGGTCTCATAAAAATAAAACATTTTCATAGAATGTTGAAGTTCCCTTCTGTGCATTGGGGGGGGAGGGGACCAATTCCAATACTACCCTGGAGAAAAAAAGCTTGGATTACGGGTGGAGGGGGGGGGGGACTCTGGTGCTGGAGTCCAATTTCTGTGGACTGGCTCCAAACATTCCATGCTGCAAATGATTTGTGCCAAATTTCTGTTTGAATTTCAGATCAGATTTTTTTCAGAACCAGAGGGAGGTTTGCAACCTTCCCTACTGGCTTTCCCACTGACTTTCCAAAGAAGTCACAAGGGAAGACCCCAGAATTGTTGGGTGCTTGATAGTCTATCATTAAATGTGAATTAGTTGCCAAGCACAATCACAAGACTGTGGAGACTCTGCAACAGTCTCTGCAACTTCAGGCATGTGTCTCAAGTCCTTTTGTATTTTTGATAGTCACTAAACAAATGGTTGTTAAACAAGAACAATCTGCAAATTCTTCAGCACAGATCACTTTCAGAATACATTTCCCCAAACATTCCAGAGTGTGTTCTCCAATATACCTGACATCTATCCAAGTTAAACAACAGATTAAATATATATTTAGCCCAAATTCCAAACTAGTTCATTAAATCTCATGAAATGTCAGCATTTGTATATGAGATCTTAAGAGACAGGGAACTGGAAGACACTTGCATCATCACATGAGGCCATAAAGTAGTATCCAACTCTTGAAAAAGTACCATATTTTTCGGAGCATAAGATGCACCTTTTCCCTCCTAAAAGAGAGTGGAAATTTGGGTGCATCTTATACTCCAAATGTAGCTTTTTGGAAGCTTTTTTTTCAGCCCTAATGAGGTGCTAACAATCTGTTTCAGGCAAAGCAGGGAAGATTGCTTCACTCTTTAGCACCTCATTAGGGCTAAAAAAAAAGCTATGAATATTTTTACTGCAGGATACTGTTGGAAAAATTTCCCAGGTTCGTTCAAGATGGGAGAAGCCCATGATGAAAGATTTGAAGACTGCCTTAAGAGGTACTTCTTTTGTCCAGTTTCTATTTTTGGGAAATAATCCTCTCAAAGACAAGGCAGAGATTTCCTGTGACTTTGTGATGTCTATTCTTTTGGGGATAATCCCTTCAAGGGCAAGGCAGGAATTTTTCCTATCTAAGTTTTCTCAATGGTTTCCTTCAGGCAAGCACTGGGCTGGTTTGTTAATTCAGCTTTGTTACTTTTTACAAGGTGTTAAGTGCTTTTGGCTGAATGCTCAGACATCTAGTTAAGCTTATTAAGATTTTCCCCTGCTGTCTGGGGAAAGGAAAAAAAGTGGCAAAAAGTGTTTTATTATACTATTTTGGGTTTGCTTGCTTTTCTGGTGTTATGGCAATAAAAATGAATATCTGCTAGGCAGATTTCCCCCCCTCCCCTTATTTTCCTCCTCAAAAACTAAGGTGCATCTTATACTCCAAAGAATATGGTAATTGTTTCCAATCCTACTATCAAGGGAGAGAGTTGAGTGCAGAAGTGCAAATTGCCTACAAGAAAATCCAAGTGCAGATCTCTATTAACACACCAACAAAAATTAGTTTGTTCAGTCATTACTTAACACACCCTCTGCAGAGATAATGTTGCATATGAAGCCAATGTATCTCTGACTTCAATGCAATTGGAGAACAGAATTATCCTGCAACATTTACAAGCACTTGTTCTATGTATATAGGATAACAAAATTATGGAGATTTAGCTATATCTATACAACTTACCAAATGCACCTCCAATTTCAGCTCCACTGGTAGGAATATTGACATTAACAATTCCACAATCTGACCCCTTGGGCCTAGGGAGAAAGAAAAAAGATGCTTACTAAATGGTAATTAATATGAATTCCCTTGAAATTCTTAAACTTCATGAGAAGGAGGCCACATAAATGTATTTCAGCAAAACATTAGAAATTACTAATATAATAAACCACAGGCGGCATTATATTTTGCTAAAATTGCATCATATTCCCTCTGATATTTCTGAACAGTGTCAGCATGATGGAAAAAAAGTTGGCACATGGCATCTTTGATAACAATAGCCAACTGGTCTTTTTAGTGGAAAAAGTCAGAGAATCACTGAACAGTCTTTCATAATAAATCCTTACATTGGTTTACAATCTAGATACAATCTATGTGAAACCTTATAGTGAAAAATAAATTTCATCAAATCAGAATGCTATTTCTGGGTTATATTAAAATGTTTTCCATGACAGATCATCTCTGTCTATACAAATGTTTAAAATTTCTATACTTCTTTAAAAATCACAGATGTATATGTAGATGTGTGTGTTTGTGTGTGTTTGTGTGTGTATGTGTGTAAACAGATACCACATAGATACATGTAACCTTCAAAGTTTTATTTTCTTTCAGGTCTGTTTATCACTTTTTAAAAGTGTGTATTCATTTCTACGCTTGCTAGTTTTTCTTTTGGCTTTTTAAAATTATTTTTTAAAAAAATATACAATGTGTTCCAAAACACATTGTATCAGGCCCTTTAGAACAGTTTCTTTATTGATTAATATTTGTTTTTACCTCAATATCACTGTGCTTAGGAAAGAAGTGTTCCTCAACTTTGGCAACTTTAAGATATATGGACTTCAATTCCCAGAATTCTGTGAAGTGCTCATTTCTTAAAGTTAGCAAGGTTGAGAAACACCACAAGAGAATAAAAGAAACACTACTTACTTATTTGTTTAGAAAGTTTAGAAGAAAATAAAATCCATTAAAACATTACATTTATTTATACAATTAAGTTATGTCTATGTTCTGTGGAATCTGTCTATAAAATTTAACTTTGGATGCACCATGTATATGAATAGTCTAAAATGAGGAGAAATAAAAATTCAACAACTAAGTTATGTCATATTTTAAGAAGATTCATATTTTCCCTCTTAAAGAAAAGGGAAAATTCATACCCTAGCCATCGGAATATTCTGCCCAAATCCTTAGTGAAGATGCTGCTGGACAAGCCTTGTTTCACATCATTGTTCCACCTAAAAACTTCTTCCTCTGTCTGGAAAAAGCAAAATAAATTTAAAAACCTACATGAATTTAGCACTAAATGTAACCACAAAATTAGGATGATAAACTAGAACATCTAAAACTTTTAACTATGTGCAAGGCCTAGTGAAGTCACAAAAAGACTGAAGTGTGCCTCAAACTATTAAGCAAGCAGGATGTTATGATGAAATACTCATTTTTCTAGTGTTTGTTGTACTCATCACATTGGTCTCAGAATGGGGTGGCCTTATCATAGCACTGACCTCTCAATTTACCCTGTACAATGTCCTTGGATAATCCCAGAGGGTTGCCCCAATGATTCCTAAGCACTTGAGATATTTACTGTACATCCAAAACAGGAGAAAAATTCATGCAGCTAAAATAACTTCCAGCGCTATTATTGGAATCCTTTGGATTTCAAGTTGATATAACCTTGCTAGCATCTAACTAAAGAGCTGTTTTACTTACCTTAAATTTGAGCACATAAAGAATAGGAGCAAATGTCTCTGTGTGCACAATTGGAGAATTATGAGGAAGGCCAATCACAATGGTTGGTTCAACGTAGTTCCCAGGACGCTCTATAACCTTAAATTTAAAAGAGAATGAAAAAAAAACCACAGGTTTCAGCCAAATCAATCTCTATATATGAAAATATCTACTGCATAAAATTCATTCAACAGCTATATTTGCAAAAGACAAACCATGCCTAAAACAACAATACACTTCAATTCTAAATATTGGTTTGTCAGAAATATGTTAGTGTAACTTCAGAAAAGTTATCCTCATTTAATTGCTCATATAAAGAGAGGTGAGAAGCTTCTTAAAGAAACAACTAGTAACAGCAATAGCACATAGACTTGTATAGTGCTTCACCGTGCTTTACAGATCTCTTTAAGCATTTACAGAGTCAGCATACTTCCCCCAATAATCTGGGAACTCATTTTATAGATCTCCAGAGGATGGAAGGCTGAGTCAACCTTGAGCTGGTGAGACTCGAATTGCCAAACTGCAAGCAGCCGGCAGTTAGCAGAAGTAGCCTGCAGTACCGCATTGTAACCATTAGCAATAACCCTCATCATGTCAGATAAGATAGATTACTAATTATTAATAGGAAACCCTATGATATAAGATTGGAAAGTTACCCAACAAAGCTTTATCCTTTGGTCCTTCTCAGCCTCCTATAATTGGGCTTCGTACAGTCAAACCAAGTCACTGCTCTGGTTCAATTTTTTAGAAATCTATATCTACAAATATGAAGTCACTTTCAAGTCAAGTTAAACTTCATGGATACATCCGTTACTTTATCTTCATTTTGTAGTGGCAAAAGGCACTTCTTCATAGCAATGTATTTTTTAACTTTCTAGTCTTCCGGAAATTCCAGGTGTTCACTTATTCAAGTAGTAAAGAGGATGATTGTGCTCAAATTGACTACATTCAACTAAGTGCCACTTCTTGGATTGGTATTCGTCAAGCATGATAAACTGTACATTACTATAAGCTATATAAACATTATACAAAGATGAAATATATGTGGTTAAACTTTGTGAAACAAAATTTAAAGGTGAAGATTATTTATCAGGTGAAGGATAAAAGCACCAATAGTTTGAGGGGGTAGATAGTATTGGTCAGAGCAACACATTCTTCGACACCACTGTTTTAAAGTTTTATTTTACAGGTGTAAATGAGAATAATCACCTTCCCGCCATAGACAACAGAGCCACCTTGCTGTTTGGCTACTTCCACTGCACCAAGAAACATCTTAACTGCTTCCTTTGTATGAAGAGGGCCATATAAGGTGTTTGCTGAAATTTAAAAAAAAATGTCTAAGTGGAATCCACATAAAAATTTTAAGAATATAATGAGAAATCCATTAGATATATTTAAACAGTTCGTGGCTACAACTAGAACTGCTTGAAACAACTTTGTTATATCAGTACATGGTTATTCATGTATATCATTCATTAATACATGTATTTATTTAATTTATATTGCCACCAATTCGGCCATGGTGACTCAAGGTGGCTTACAGAATACAAAACCACATTTAAAACAATAAAAACTAACAAAAATAATCAAATAAATTAATATAGTACAATATAACAAAATCACACACATACACCACTCTCCATCAACGACAGCAGATCACATGAGCCGTTTAATGGGCTCCACCCTGCTCTGGGTTCCTCAGGCCTGCTGGCAGAACCAGATCTTTAGCGCCTTCCGGAAGAGTATTAAAGTGGGGGCCATTCTAATCTCTGGAGGAATGATGTTCCAGAGACAGGGAAACACCACAGAAAAGGTCCTTCTTCTGGGTCCCACCAGGTGTATCTCCCTCAGGGATGAGAGCTGCAACATTCCCTGCCTCCCCGCTCTGATGGGTCGGGTAGATGTGACTGGCAAAAGACGGTCCCTCAGATAACCTGGTTCCAAGCCATGAAGGGCTTTAAAGGACAACCAGCACCTTAAATTGCACCCGGAAGCAAACTGACCACTAATGCAGCTCCCGCAGAAGAGTCGATAAATGTGCGCACCGGGGTCTGCATAAAACCATGCAGGCTGTTGCATTTTGCACCAATTGGAGCTTCTGGATTCTCTTCAAGGGCAGCCCCATGTAGAGAGTGTTGCAATAGTCAACTAGTAGCAGACTAAGACATGGGTGACATGCAGGGGTGGGTTCCTCCCGGTTCGCACCGGTTCTTGCGAACCTGTTCGTCAGTGAACCCGGAAGTAAT